TCGAATGACATATCAACAATTACTTTGATTTGAATTTATTAAACAAAATTTTTCAAATATACAAAAAAAGTTGACTGTGAGAATGTATTTATGGTTGCGTCTAAAAATCGTTCAGGGTCTTTATTATAAGTGACTCAGCCTGTAGGTACCTATTTGTAACGGTTTTATGCATTTTTTTTAGTTATGTTGCGAAAATAGTATAAGCTTTAAATTTACACAAAATTGTCTCATGATATATTAATCTTTATCTCCTATTTCTATTTTTGCGCTTAAGAGTTTTTACTTTTACCATGTCATTAGTGACATTTTTTCTAGTTATGTTGCGAAAATAGTATAAGCTTTAAATTTACACAAAATTGTCTCATGATATATTAATCTTTATCTCCTATTTCTATTTTTGCACTTAAGAGTTTTTACTTTGTCATTATTGACATTTAACAATGTTGTTTATTTCTTGTCTCTTTTGCTGCTTCACCAATATCACTAGGCGTACATTGTAGATCATCAGCATTTGGTATTTTCCACTACTAACTGCACTAGTTAAATAAATAAACCCATTCGAAAATCTTAACACAAATTGCACTCCTGACGCGTGATATTTGTTTATAAGTGTTGTTATAATTTCAATAATTGCAAAGCGTTCTGATTATTTTGCTCATTAACTTGCTAATTTATTTGTGGCTTTTTACTCTTAAATTGAATAGGTTTGCGGATATAATGGTATATGTTATTCCTATTAAAAGTAGTGATTTATGTGGCTGAGCTGCAAAAACCACCACTTTTACTCCTAATAACATAATGTACTGTTAATTGAAGATATAGTAATTATCTAGTAGAGTAATCAACAAAAATGATATTTTGATAGGAGTGTTTTTTGATTCCGTTTTTGTAAATTTTCTCATTGATACAAGTTCTAATTTGTCAATTGTCAATTTCATAAATCAAAAAATTGAGCGTATCTGAAATCGGTTGTAAAGTGAACGAAGTAATACTTTCAGAAGGTTTTTGAAGTCGTCAGAAATACTTTCGGAAGTTCTTTGGTAGTCAGCCTGTATTTTGCTGATACTTAAAAAAAAATAAGAGAGTAAAAAATGTGTGTATCTGGTGTTAAATTTTAGAGTTTGTTGCACTGTTTTTCTGGTAAATATATCCCTTTTTAATACGAAATTCTGTTCTTCTTCTTGAGTTTTATTCTCACCTGAAGATGACCACTTTGTAGTTGAAACGCGTTGTGTTTTAAATAAAAGTTTGGTGTGACGGGCTAATCGTGTTTTTATTCAACGAAATTCTGTCGTGCTCCAAATTTAGTTAAATCTGATTAAAAAAAAATGAAGTTCTACTTTTGTCAATTTCTCAATTTTTGTCGTAGTTGTACATTATTTTTTACTACTGGAACACATTCTGCTTTAGTTCATGACTGTTTTAGATTGAAAATTTTGTGTTTAAAGTCTTATTTTTTCTAATTGTTCAATTTTATTTCATTAGATTATATTTTTGTATTCTCCTTCTATTCAATTTTTTTGTAATTTTATTGTAGTTTACAGTTTTAATTTTTTTACTAGGTTTTTAATCTTTTTTATATCTTTTAATATGAAATTCTGAATTCAAAGCTTTCTCTTCCAATTTTTTTCAGTACAATTTTTTTTAAGAACTTGTGTTCTTCTTAATATTTTTTTTACTGTTACAGCACATTATTCTGTTTTGAAACGTTGATTTTATAATTCGTTATCGTTTCATATTAAAAATTTTCTATTCATAGCCTAATTTTTTTTCAAAGTTTGTAATTTTCCAATTTTATCACAGAATATATTTTTGTATCACTAAAGTTAGATAGATTTTTTAATTAAAGTTTTTTGCACAAGTCGGAATTTAGTTTCTTTGGTCCGAATTTGCAACAGGACAATTCATCAAGCGCCCGGTTTCATCTTTTACGTCGGATGCGAAATTTCATAAATCACGCAGGAGACATCAAACCGGGGACAACAAGACTCACGCCCAAGACGGAGGGTAGAGGCCTAAGCTCGACACGACTCGTTGCTTCTAATTATGCACGCAAAGATTTCTCGCTTAATTTAGTCCTACCGGTTCCAGAGTTCGCATTTCCCTAACTCATTCCACTCGCGAACTTCCTCAGGAGACGCTCCTGAGACTGGGCGACACTCTCGCCGAAGACGTTTCCCACTTTCACAGTCTGACTTCCAAGGAAAATATCGCCATGGTAACGGACTCAAGTAGGGGAGCGCCATTTTGTCCCCGACTCCGGAGTTAGCGAAAYCGCCACAAATTTATATCTGCCTCATCCAGGGCTCAAAAGAGATCATTACCAAAGCTTTCTACTCAATTGCGGATCGCCCGGAGTTTGATCTATTTGTCGTCGCTCTTTACCTGACTACTCAATGTCGTCTTTATTATTTTAGATGAGGTTCCGGAGCCACACCGGAAACGAACCAAAAGACCAATTACTTAATCAATGCTTCAAAAAATTTAATTTTGTGATGTTTAAATCTTCAGCTTAGATGAATGGAGAAAAGTAAAATGATAATGGAAAATTAATCATACAAAAATGTAGGTGAAGTAGGGAAGAAAACAGCGGGTGAGGCAATAAAGAAGAATTATTAAGGAAACCCATGAGCCAACAAATCCAGTCAGAGTTGGCGGCACAAGTTGAGGGATCAATGGCTCAAGATGCCGCCTCCGAAGATGAACTGCTCCCTCATTTACAATCATTAAACCGAAATAGATTTCTACAACACATACTTTTCACTATTCATTCAAAAATCAAACTATTTGCAAAAAGTAGTAATTGTAGTAATTAATTTAAAACAAAATCGAACTTTTTATTTCCCTCTATGTTTAATTTTGCTAACTATTCCAAAAGAGTGTAAAAATTTCGAGAAAGTGGGAGCCATCTGGTGAAAAGAGGTAAAAGTTCTGTTTAGCTCAGCAATAGAAACCTATCGGCTAGCACAGTTACATAATCAATAATTTCTACTCTCGAAACCCGAAAAAGTCTTCCAAATATTCAGTTTAAGTCACTTCACAAAGTAAAAGTTAAGAGACTTAAAAATTTCATTTTTAAAATACAGGGTGTTAAAAAAAGATTGTAAAATATTTAAAGAGGTTATAGTATGGACCAAAATAAACAAAAAAGTCCGCAAAGTAACGGTTCCGGAGATATCGAATGTGACAATTTTTAGAATTTCCACTAGAAGCTTCTCTTTTTTGATTGAACAAACTGCAAACAAGTGTTTCAAAAAAACAATAATTTCGTTTATGTTCATTTTGGTTCATACTATTACCTTCTGAAATATTTTACAACCTTTTTTTAACACATCTAAAACACGTGGTATGCTTACATAAACACTTTTTATTTTATAACAATGTTACACTGCAAGAACACCAGTTTGCGATTTGTAGAAAAAATTGTTGTTAGTGTGCAACGATCCAATAAGCACCGCTCTCTACTACTAGATTTTCCTAAACATTTAATACTTCATATGCGTATTATTTATGTATAAAACAACGAGTAAAAATACTTAAAAAAAACTATAAAAACTCAACATACTTTAAAGTAAAATTTGTTGCAAAATTGTTGCTTTTTTGTGTAGTATAAAAAATGAAAAAACTGAAAAAAAACATAGGTACTGTAATTTTAGCCAATATTTAACTCTCAAATGTTAATTCTAGCTCCCATTAAATAAAATATTGTAGTTTAATTTAATTAATGTAAAAAATACAGTCGTCTTTTTAGTAAAAACATCTCCCCCGAAGTAAGTTTGACTTGTTAATTTTTTTAATTTTTAAAATATTAAAAAACAACAGTATAGACCATAAGTTTTGTGACTGAGAGCAAGTTTTTGCTCCATTTTTTGTGATTGCAAATTTTTTTTTTTTCAATTTTTGTTTCATCAAACGTTTTAGAGTTCCGGCGAGCGTTTTACTGTTAATTTTCTTGTTTTTTTTTTTGTTTTATTGAGGTGTTTTTTGCCCAGTTTTTTCAATGAAAAGTAATTTATTTAAATAAAAAATAAAAAGGTTTTTTTAATTTGATAAATATTAATTTTCACCCACTTTTTAATTGTTAACTTTATTCCAATATTATTCAATTTGATTCAAAAATTATTTGCATGAAATCACAAGTTTATTGTCTATTTGTGTAGCTATAGTAAGTATGAACTTATCTTTTTAAGATATATAACAAAAGAGTTTCTTAATAAAAGCGACTAATAGCACAAACCCAGTTTTTGAGGAGTATAGGATATGAGGTAGGTATAATAAAATGTTGATAAAAAATCGATGTTCTGTCGATATCGTTGTAGAAATAAAGTCATTCGATTTGAAAAAACTAAGTTGTAGTCGTTTCTTAATAATCATTTTCTAAAAGCCATACTAGCCTTGATTTTTGACACTTGATAATCTTAACCACTTTAGAAGATTTTTGAAACCTTCGATTATCACATGCAAAAAAAATGTTCACTTATTGTAAAGAATTCTAAAGCTGTGATTTTTTTAATGAACGCTTACAAATAAAAATTTTGACAAAAAATTGACATACTTATGTCAAAAATTATAACAGACAACTAACAATTTGAGTACGTTTTATTCAGTTAAAGAAGGCAAATTCAAAAGTGTTGAAAAAATAGATAATTTAATTAATTATTAAATTTTTCGTAACAATTTTGAAAATAATTTAGATGGATCAAAAATAGTCGATTTTAGTCAAAGTTGAAAACTTTCTAATGTAGGGCCTACAAGAATCACCCTGTATAGTAACAAAAATTTCTGAAATCTCTGAAAAAGTGTGCCAAATAATAAAATAAAAATCTTGAAAGTGAAAGGTGTTGAAGTAAAAGGTATTTGACGTCCATGGCCGTCAAAAATGATAATAAATACCGTTGATAGTAAAAGTTGACCTGTTACAGAAAATTGATATTTTCGTCATACATATGAATTATTGGTTTACGGCAAGAAAGCGTTAACGGACAACAAAAAAGCGATAGTTGTAATAAATAACCAGTCTAATATCAACAATTCTAAGACTACATCCATAAAAAGTGTAATAACAATGATTTAATTTAATGTCACATCAAAGTCATATGACTGGCACAAGCATGATTAAATCTGTATTCCAAATAAATCATTCCGGTACAGTGCCAGTAGTACAGTGCAGCCACCACAAATAGATGCCACCACTGGTGCGAATGTCCTAAATAATCGAATTTTCCTGAGCAAAATCTTTCAGGTACTTTAGTGATATAAACAGCGAAAGCTGTCCCACTTATCAGATACATCCCAACAACTCTGGGAAGAAGGAGCTGCAACAAAAGCGGTGAAATAGTATATCACATACCGAAGTGGAAAGTGAAAAAATGAAACTTTCTAACGTGGTTTATACACATTTTATTCACAACCGCCTTATTACTTTTCCTGAAAAAAGTAAAAAGTAGAATGGAGATCAGTAATGGAACACTTTGGCAAAAATGTCAACTTCCCTTCTCGGTTGTGAATAAAATGAAAAAAAAAGTCCATTAGTGACCTATAATTAGTAAAATTTTAAAAACATTGTATAGGACATTGATAGGTACTAATCTAGTGAAACACCTAAAATTATTTTCAACCATACAGCATGTCCCAAAAATAAGTTACGATACAAATTTGTGTTTTTTTAAATAAAACACCGTATGTTTGAATGTAGCCTTTTAAAACAGTGTTTTTACGCTAAACTTTTATTAGTCGATTTCGCTTGGTTTTAGAAATAAGACGTTCTTTTGACGAAAACATGCACTTTTTAAAAATCTATTACACAAAAACTAAGACAGCTAGAACAAATTTTTTCTTACTTCAGCAAAGAAGAAAGTACAAAATTAATTTTTTAGTGATTTCCATTTGTAAAGATTAATAAATTAAGAAGTTTGTTAAAAGTTAAATAACTTAAAAAAATTAAATGGAACACCCAATTTTTTATTTTTGCATCTAATAGATCGATAAATTTTCTATCTAAAAAAATAAACTTTTAATGACTAGAATTAATAAATGAAAAGATATTTACAATGTTAATTGTAGTAATAATGCCTTGCATTTATCCAGAGATTGTAAAAGTCGTTATAAATACTGAAATTCGAATTATTTTATTGTAAAAATAAAGAATAATAGATTCAGTTTAACACAAATATGATTATTAAGTGATATTTCTTCCATTTCTTGTGCAACTATGCACTTTTTGGCTACTGAAACAATAGTATTTTTTTTTAATGTTTAACGTTAAATATCTTTTTAATTATTTATTATAAACACCTAAAAGTGAATAATTTTAGAAAAACAATTTAATAATATTTTCAATGCAAAAACAATAAATAGGGTGTTCCATTTATTTTTTTTAAGTTATTGAACTTTTAACAAACGTTTTCATTTTTTTATCTTTGCAAATGCAACACACTAAAAAAATGTTACAATCTTATAGCTTGTACTTCTTCTTTGCGGTAGTAAAAAAATATTTCTAGATGTCTTAGTTTTTGTGTAATAAATATTTAAAAAGTGCATGTTTTCGTCAAAAAAAACGAGTTATTTTTAAAACTAAGCAAAATCCACTAATAAAAGTTTAGCTTAAAAACATTATTATAAAAATCTACATCCAAAAACACTAAGAAACATACCAGGTGAATAAAAAGTATGGAACCAAACGTTTTTTGCTTAAACTATTTATTTTTTGAAAAAACTAAGTGATGAGTGCTAAAGTACTATAAAAATGTGATGATTTAACAAGAATAAAATTTTTCGAAATTTCCTTTCATTTTTGAGTTCTACAAAAAAATTAATTTTAAATGGCAACCCACTATAAAATCATTTTTTTCATAAAAGCTATACTCTAAGAATTACAACTATCTGCTTTATTTTTAATTTTTTCAAAAAAAATTTTTCACATAAATTGCAATTTTGACAAAAAAAATCGCATAACTCAAAAACAAAACAAAATTTCGTTCTGAAATTACGATCATATTTTTTTATATTACTTTAATGGTTAAAAATAAAACCGCTTGGTTCCATACTTTATATTCACCCTGTATAGTGTTTCATTTAAAAAAAAACACAAGTTTGTATTGTAACTTATTTTTGAGACACGCTGTATAGTTGAAGATAATTTTTAGGTGATGCACTAGATTAGTATCTGTCAATGTCCTATACCGGGTGGGGCATGCGTTACGCCCAAAAAGAAAATCCCCACTTAAATAAAATTGTTGAATTTTTTCACTTACCTGGGCATTAATAAGGTACGTTCTCTAATTTTTTGGTAATTTTTCATTCACAAAGCCAAAAAAAAGTAATTTTTCCCCAAAAATTTAATTCTAATTTTTATACTGATCTACGCAAATTCACTTCCTACAATTGTTAAAAAAAAATCAGAAAAAAAAACACCAATTAGATTTTGAATTAAACGCAATTTTCCATTTTAACTTTGAAAATCATTTTTATTTATGACCTGCTACTTGTGCCATTGTATTTTTTTTTAATTTTATCATTTCAAGGTCACTAATGGACTTTTTCAACTCGCTGTGACACCCTGTATATTTTTTATGCACTTACACAGACTAAAGGGTGTTCAAACCACCCCATGTGCATGGCCCAATGCAGCGTCGGGACGACCCCATACGCCGCCCATCCGACAAAGACCATCATTCGAACGTTGGGTCCAACGTTGAATCTCGGAACATGCAACAACATCGCAATCGCGAAAATAATCGTGACTGTAAAAATGTAAAAATTCAAAAGTCCGGGATTACACCAAAAGGCGTAATATATTCCAGATGTGTAGATGGCGAGAAGGGAAAGGGCAATGCCGAATAAATCGAACGAGAGGAAAAAATCACAGTCACGCTCAGATCTGCATGAAAACGTATGATACAACGCTGATAAAAACATGCACACCTGAAAAAAACTCATTACAAAACGAACTGTTTCAGCGATGCGAATTACCTGAAAACAAATTAAAACGAAACCTACAATAAGCTTATCACCAATGAATGCATAGACGTCTAGTGACCAGACGTCTCGAATTGTAACGGCTAGGAAGAGAACAAATCCGAAAATATGGGACCATATATTGATTGTCTCGTTTGTCCACCAAAAAATACTGAAAATAATATTTCAAGAAAAAAAAAACAACTTTAATTATTTGAATTCATTCAAAACTTTCCTCCCAACAGACTAAATTAATAATAATAATAATTAATTAATTAATGGTCAAATCCCGTCAGATTCGAAAATGTTTATAGGGGGCTCGCGGCTATGCCGCTCGCCCCCCAATACACCTCACTGTTTCTAATCCCCAACTCAATTAATTCAATTCCAGTTTATTTTACGAGTAAAAATGGTATTTCATTTATTTTATTCTCTGTTGAGAGAAAAATCATCAAACTTGATTGAAGTCTCACCTTTCTAAACATAAATGCGTGTCTAAAATCCCCCTATACCCTGATAGAATAAAAGTGTTGTGTTTTATGTAATCGGGGGCTTCTTTGAAAGTGAAGAGCTTTTTAGCTCGTTCATGGCAAAGTTTATGGTTTCTATCATTTTCCTTTTTTTCTTTTGTGTTGTCTTCGGGGCATGGTTTTCTAATAAATTCCTTTAATAAATTGTTTGTTTGTTCATCACAGTCCTGTAACATAATAAGGTTTTCTATTGTAATGCACAATGAATGAGACACTGAAATTTAAGACGCATCGCGCTGCAGGACTACATCTCTTGCGATTCCTGCAGTCCTGCTAGAAGTGTGCAGCGAGCGACACTGACGCCACGAGACTGACAATTGACAGACATTGGCGTGTCTCTAAATTTATTTTTAGAAATTCTATTATTAATTGACAATAAATAATTACAATTGGGAAAGTTTTCTAACACTTCTTCATCGCACTGAAAAAAATTGCAATGAAATTTTGACCGAAAATAAGGACAGGTGAAATCGCCCTCCTGCGGTCCTGCTACGTACAAAGTTGATTTTTGTGAGGTAATTTTAATACAAAGGTGCCGTTTACTAGACCGGAAATAAAATTTCGCTAAACAATAATATTGACGCAATAAACAAAGGTTGATGTTTATTAATCATAACACAGGTATTGCTTTTTATTTTAGTAACCTTGAACCAATAAAGAAGTCTAAAGTAATTCAACACACTGACCCAGAATCGGTTTACATAACATTTATTTAAATTCGTACAGCATATTTTAAAAATAAAAGTACAAATTATTAATTTTTGTTTGTAGAAAGTAAGTATTAAAATGATCTTTCGTTGCTTTCTCCCAGTTTAGTGTAAACTAATCACAAGAAAGCAAGTTCCGTTTTAAGTGGGTTGCCAGATATGTTTGTTTCTCTAGGCGATTTTGAGTTCAAGCACTTTTATTGTTGGCAAATGTAAACCAGATTCTGTGTTTCTATCAAAGATTTTTGATTGGGTATTTTTATAATTGTGCATTACAAAGATACGTAATGAGTAAACTTTCATTTAATAAGTAAAGAGAAAGTTTGGTTCACTCACCTTTTTATCACTACAGCACGTTTCATTGTCATTGTCATCTGACATTGAGACATCGTGTTTTGCTGAAATCGTAACAGTCATTTTTCTGAAAACAAAACCTGATTAAATTTTATTTCAAATTATTTTCTTCCATAGCACATGTAATGTTATTCAAATTTGTTTTTTTTTTTAAATTACAGTTAAGTTCATTGCCTTTGGTGAGATGAATGAAAGCACTAAGTTAATAGTTTCAGGCGACCTTCCTATTCCTGAATTTGAGCATGCTCTCAATTTTTAAAAATATTTTCACAATCAAAAATAAAGTTGTACCTGAACAAAAATAAACCAACACGTGAAACATTTTTATCACTAGATGAGGCGAATTTTGAAGCTCGTTCAAGGACAAGTGAAAAAAAATTATATTATATTTTTCAAATATGTAATACGTTTCAGGTACTCCAAAAATCGTATTTTGGAAATTAAAGTTTCGAATTTATCTTTTGGGAGCGTTTTCCTGAAAAAACAAATCAAATCCAAAGTATATGTTTTTTACTTATTTTTTGAAAAAAACTGATGAAGTACTATAAAAATGTGACGTATTTTAAAAATAAGTAAACCAGAGGAGAAATATACTTTCCTCCAGTGTTATACATAATTTTTCCTACGATCCAGCAAAAAAAATCAAAACTATGAGGGAGGTAAAATTTTTAATTTTGACAGGTGGCCAGTTTACTTTCTGAAATTAGGGTGGGAAGACTTACTTTCTGTGACGGTCGTTGGAAAAATATTTTAAATTAATAGTTATGTATTCGACCAGTTTGAGTGTAAATCGGACTCTTTATTTAACCGAGTGGATTTTTAAACCACGAGTGTAACGAGTGGTTTACCATCCACGAGGTGGAATAAAGCGTCCGATTTACACTCAAACAAGTTGAATAAAACATTTTATTCTTTGAATTAGATAAAATAAGGCTTAAACTTGCTTTAAATCTATTAAAAATAATTTGACGTTTTGTATTGAGAAATGCCAAACAGTTGTCAAAACTTCCTTACACGGGAGAAAAACCGTAAATTTTGACAGTGTCGAAGAATAAATATTATTATTTTGTACTCAATGTTAAAGAGTGCTTTTATCAACTAATTTCAGTAGTCTTTTATCGTCTAGTGAAATAAAGTAATTTTTATCTACTGTTTATATTTTATCATCTAATTTCAGTAGATAAAGTAGTCTTTTAGTGAAATACATAAAGTAATTTTATCTACTGGTTATATTTAAGAAATTCTGGTAAGTGAATACAAAATAAAACGAAATATTATACACGACTATAAAGATTGTTTATCTACTCGTGGAAAAAGTCCACTCGTGACTTCGTCACTCGTAAACTTCACCTTTTCACTCGTAGTTTCAATTTCTTTATCGTCTTGTATAATATATAACTATTTAGTTTAGAAGTAAAAACAATTATTTCAATATTTTTTCACCGCACTTATTAAAGCAATTTGAAAGCTTTTTTAAGTAAATTGCACACTGCCCAATTTTATTTCTACCGATTTACAAAGATAAATTTAAAATTCTTTAACCTTGAGAGGGAAAATCCAACTTGAATAAACTGTATCTACAGTTTTTATCAAAAAAAGTTTTCATATAAGTTGTGATTTAAAAAAAAATCGCAAAATTCGAAAACAAAACAAAATTTCATTCTCAAAACATTTTTATAACACTTTAAATTTTATCAGTTATTATTTTATGAAGGCAAATTATTAAAAAAACGCTTGGTTCCATACTTTTTGTTTACCTTGAATATTTTTAACATAAAAATTGAAAACTGGCGACGTTTCCGTGTCTACTTACAATAAAATTATTATATTGGAATAATAAAAGTGTCATCAATTTTTTTTTTCTTTTCTTTAATATAGATCTTCGAGTAATGTTTTTCAAAAAACGTGAAAAAATTAAATGAAATAACACACTAAACAATAAAAAAATAGGCGAATCCCCTGATTTGGCAAGAATTTGCATTCATATTTCGTAATTTAATTGAAATAATATGTGGCTTATCAATAATAAATTCAAGTGATAAGTTAAATTTTTGCTATAGCGTGTTTTTCCTCGCAATTGACACGTTTGCGTATATAATTTACTGTGTCATAAATTTTCATATCATTGCATGGAAAGTACCTAATTTATTAAAAAGGTATTAAGAAACGTCGAAAATGATTACACTTTAAAAGTCAAATGTACTACAATTAGTGTTACAACACGCACATTGGACTTATTTAACTTCCTTTTATAATCACAGTTGTAGCATTATGTCCATTTATGCTTCGCTGCAAAACGACTCATCAGCGATTTTATAACAAGACATTACAATGTTTTGAAATTTTTTAAATGCTTATTCACACTTGACAGACCTAAAAATCCCGCACCTACAATTTTGTAATACACAAAAACCAGTCAGATTTCGTATGAATAAATAACGCTTATAGATTGGTTTTGCAATAACTTAAATTCTCAACATTTACTACACGTTAAAACAAACAAATAGTTTGGAAAAAATGAGAAGTAAAAAAATTACAAAAGACACGAAAAAGCAATTTTATTGTAATGATAGTCGGCATCTATTATTGTAATTTATAAAGTAATGACGTTGTTTTCTAAAAAAAATTGTACCCTACCTAAAAATCAAAAATTTCACAAAAAACATGAACCAAAGGAGAAATACCAGAATTTTGGAATGCAAAATAGCCGGCTACAGCGTTTCCATAGCCTTTAACACCAATATTTGAGGTCAACTACATTTGCTATGGAACAAAGCAGAAAACGTTCGAAACTCAGAAATCTACTCACACTTATAAAAAAATTGATTTTTCTTCGTATTGTATCAATAGTTAACGCACTTTCTAACAAGATACTGATGTTAATATCAAGTTATACATTGGCGCAGGTGCGTTTTGCTGCGCGGTTACCGAACGACTGAATACTCTTCCATTAATATTTCAGTTTCAAAATGTTGTGACCTCCTTAACACACTTAGTGTTGATGACGTGCTCTTGGAAGGATGTCCCAACGAAACTGTTCTTCGGCGAGGTTACAAGTTGCAAAACAAAACTGCTGCTGTGTTGAAATTAAGAAAAACACTAGCAAAATTACAATTAATTAACCGCTAATAACTCACAATTATAATAAATTTGTTGAAAGTTGGTTGAAGATATAAAACGCAAATTTATTTTGATGTTTAAGAAAAAAAAAAAGAGTGTTTCCGCCCGGGATCGAACCGGGGACCTTCCGCGTGTTAGGCGGATGTGATAACCACTACACCACGGAAACAGCTTGCACTGATATTATGTTTACCGGTGAATGCGGTACACTATCGATTGTTTTATTTTATGTGAACCCCAAACATAACTGTATAATAGGTTGCATATACCAACTAAATTTCAAAGTTTCAATAATCAAACTTTTTATACGACTTGCGTGCCACACTATTACATATTTAAGACAATCGATTCATGTCTCATTTTTGTAAGTATCTGACAGTGTGTAGGTAGTGTTTAAAAATTATTTAGATAAAATATTTAAAAAAGTAATAGATAATGAGTCGTTAGGTGTTATTTAAGACTAAAGAGCCCCATACAAAAAAAATTCTTATACAGGGTGTTTCACGTAATTTTACGAGGCCTGCGCCTGTTAGATGCAATCAATAATACATATTCCGATACGAACTCGATTACAAATTTTGAAAAATTGAATAATTTTCTCTAATTTGTTCACCCTTTAAAAAATTACAACGTTTTTAGTTAGTTAGTGATTAAGATAGGTAAACTAGAATCATATTCATGCCGTCTCTTGATAGAACAAATGATAATTGTTTCTGAAAAACTGCAGTTTATGACTATTAATGAAACAGTGATTAGTTTGACAACTACTGTCATGGGTTTCCAAAAATTAAATAAATAAATGTGTGTTTTTTGTATCCAGTGTTCTGTGACTTTTGTATATTTGGGTGCGTACATTAGGCGCAAGCCTCGTAAAGTTATGTGAAACACCCTGTAGAATAAATAATGTTTTGTGGTATACATATTAATTTTTTCCCCAATAAAATAAAAAATCGCCAACTAAGCATTATTATTTCAAGTAACATAAAAAAATACATAAAAAATACTAAATACCAATTTGCATGATTCCACAAATAGTACAGCAGATGATACTAATTGAACTAAGAAAAAATTAATAACTCTTAACCATTGAGGGATTTAATTGAAACAACACACAGGTGAAGATAAAACATTAAGAAAGTAAGAAAAAATAAGATTGTAGTTTTTTACATAATAAAGCATAAAATAAAAATTAAACCCCAAAGAGAGAGACTAATGAAACAAAAGTTTTTGTTCTAAATGTTTAACTAAAAAATAAAAAAAACAACGGAATAACTAGAATAAAACATAAAATTGTTGTTCTTTAGAATGAAGCACAAAACGAAAAAAGTAAACAAATAAAATTCAAAGCCAAAAAATACTATTTAAAAAAGTAGATACATCAAAGTAGTAATATTAGAAAACAAAATCTATAATATGAATAAATTATTGAAGTGAAGAAAACTTAACATTTTTAATTCGAGTTTTGTTTCCTTTAGGCAATTTAACTTAAAAACTGGCAGAAAAAATTACGAGTCCGTAGGACGGGTTTTTTTCGTTAAATTGTCAGAAAACAAAATTCTCATTAAACTGTCAAGTTTACTACAAAAAAAAGCTCTCGTGTAATTATAAGTGAGAAAATAAAAAAGAAACAAGATAGAAAATCAGTAATTACAAAATAAAAAATCAAAAACCAAAAAATCAAAAATACATAGTTAAAAAAATAGAAAAAAATTAAAGATATTTTTTTAAATGTAATGTCTACATGGACTTCCGGATAACCGGGAGCTGGATAATCGAGGCTCTACTGTATTTATATTAAGATTCTTATTTATTTTTATTATTTACTCGTCCTAAACTATCAGTTATTAGCCATAAGATCAAGCAAAAAATTGAAAAAATAAAATAAAATTTTGTGGTATAGAGCGTTTCAAAATCATTGATATCTCGGTAGGTCATGGAAATACAAATTTAAGGTTAGGTTGTATATTTTTTTACGATTACAGCCACTGGTTGAAGATACGTCTATTTCACAATTTATTACATTTGTCGTTTTTAAGAGGTTTTGGCGCATTTTCTCTCTCATTTTTCTTTCAGTTCCACGTTTCTTCTATATTTACCAAGACCATTATAATCAAAACATGCATATTTCTTTTGAACAAATAGGTTATGTTATTATTTTTTTTTTTTGACAAAATTCAATTGAAATGTCATTATTTATGAAGTATCGTGATCTGAAAAATGTTCACATTAGTAACTTTTTGGTACTAAAATTAAAGTCTGATTTACATTCTAACTCCTATCGAGATGTCAATCATTTTGAAACGTTCTATATATTATTTTTTTCCACAATAAGATAAAAAATTCACCAACTAAACATTATTATTTTGAGTAACAAAAGAAAAAACAAAGTACTTACCTAACCATTTCTAGAATCAAGTTGTCCCTATCGAAAGATCAAGAATCATCTTTGAATCCGAAAACGTATGTCTGTTTTTGAACTAACTGCACGGGAAACGTCAAATAAAATGACAAGTCGAAAGGTACACTTTAGTTATTAAAATCGTCATCTTTTTGATCATGACGTTTTACCTTTTCACTTGTCATTTTATTTGATATTTTACACACATACTTTTTCGAATCCAAAAATGACTCAATTACAAAATATTTTGATCTTTCGATACTTCTACTCGTATCTAAGAAATAAAGCACAACATTATTAATCTACCTACAAGAGAAAATGACATTTTTGACACAACATATTATTTTTGACATTTTTGTAGTCTTAGTGTTTAAAACATGCTCCGTAAAGAGATTTTAGAAGAATTCCAGTGCTTAGTTTGTACCGAATACATGTTTCCGCCAATCAGTGAGTGTCTAAGAGGCCACGCAGTGTGCGAAAACTGCTCATTTAAACTAGAAAATTGCCCTGAATGTCACGAACTGATCGTCTACAATCGAAATTCAGTTCTAGAAGATTTGTGCAAAAAGCTCGACTTTCCTTGCAGAAATTCGGACAATGGTTGCAACTTCCAGGCCAAAGCCAGCAAGGTGAAACTCCACGAGCGAAAATGCAGATACAACAGCAGGTGTTCGAAGAGGAAATCGACGCCACTTTCTGTGATTTCAGTCGTGGGCTTCTTCGCAGCTTTTATTTTATTCGAAATGTATTTAGTGGTGAATAAAACAGAGAGTAGCAGTGAAAGGGGTGGAAGTATACTCTTGTAATTTTGCTGTTTTACTTTTTATTTACTCAWATTGTACAAAATAAGATAATAAATATTTTATTATTACACGAAATTTTCTTATGTAACAGTGGGGAAAGCGTCATCGGAATGATGCAAGGCTTGGTCTTCGCCAAAATCGCAAAATCTGCAAAAATTAAGTAAAAATAAAAAAAATATAAGAAATTAAACTCACCAGAATAATCTGTTTGGCCATTTTCTTTTCTCGATAGTATTTTATTCTTCTGTGATGCTTTTCAGACTGCAGCTCACTTATTTATATGCCTTTTAATATTAACACCGCATAAACAAAGAGCCCCATACAAAAAAAATTGATAAAGAATAAATAAGGTTTTGTGGTACACATACCAGGTGAATAAAAAGTATGGAACCAATCGTTTTTTTCGTAAATTAAGCACTTTATGAAAAAAAATAATTAGTGTAGCGTAAAGTCCAATTAAAATGTGACCATTTATCAAGAATAACATTTTTCGAAATTTCTTTTAGTTTTCGAGTTCTGGAAAAATTTTTTTTTTTAAATGGCAACCCACCATGGTATTTTTTTTAATTAAAGATTATGATCTAAAAATGACCTCTAATTAAATAAAATTGTTTTTTAGCCAGTACTTTTTTTTTAATTAATTGTTAAAGTTGCGTTCCGAGCTCATCACGAAGATTTTCCGAACTTAACCGAAGTGGTTGTTTCATACTTTTCATCATGGGAGAGCGCTGATTTCTATGCAGGTGCTTTGGGGTGGTTTCGAATCGACTAAAAATAGAAGAAAATGATTTGGTTTTACATTTTTTGATCCATCCGGTACCACCCCAAAGCACCTGCACCAAAAACCGGACTCTCCAACGACCAAAGTCATGAAACGACTCCTTCGTTCAAGTTAGGAAAATCTTCGTGATGAGCTCGAAACGCAACTTTAACAATTTATTTAAAAAAAAGTACTGACTAGAAAACAATTCTGTTTAATTAGAGGTCATTTTTAGATCATAATCTTTAATTAAAAAAATTACCATAGTGGGTTGCCATTTAAAAAAATTTTTTTTTCCAGAACTCGAAAACTAAAAGAAATTTCGAAAAATGTTATTCTTGATTTTAATTGGACTTTACACTACACTAATTAGTTTTTTTTGTAAAGTGCTTAGTTTACGAAAAAATGCTTGGTTCCATACTTTTTATTCACTTGGTATTAATGTTTTCCCCAATAAGATAAAAAAATCACCAACTAAGCATTATTTTTCGAGTAACATAAAAAAATACAAAAAAAATACTTAATACCAATTTGCATGATTCCACAAATAGTACAGCAGATGATACTAATTGAATTAAGAAAAAATTAATAACTCTTAACCTTTGAGGGATTTAATTGAAACAACACAGGTGAAGATAATACATTAACAAAGTAAGAAAAAATAAGATTGTAATTTTTTGACATAATAAAGCATAAAACAAATAAAAATCAAACCCAAAAGAGAAAGACTCTAATGAAACAAAAGCTTTTGTTCTATAAGTTGAATTAAAAAAATAAAAAAACAACGGAATAACTAGAATAAAAAATAAAAATGTTCTTTAGAATAAAGCACAAAACAAAAAAGCAAACAAATAAAATTCAAA